ACAATTTATATAAATTTATTATAAATATACAACTTTCTAAAGACGTCAAAATACATACAAATTGCTTAATAATTTTTATTTACTTGTAAAAGTAATAAAAATTAATGTAATAAGAGTGCCAAAAACTAAGGTGAAGATTAAGAGTTAATATTCATTTTCGATTAATAAAAATGTAATTATTAGCATGTCGAATGGAAATGGAATTCGCTGACATGTACACGTGTTATTGACAGCTGTTTGACACGCGATGAGATACATGGTGATCTTAAATGACAGCATCCATTAGGCTTTAATATGAACCATTTACAATGTCGCAGTCTCAATCAGCTGCTGAATTTGCACGTCGAATTTTGATGAGATAAAACCATAGATTCATCATTTACGACAGATGCTTGATTTGAAAATAGAAATAACGGTAAGTTCTCTACAACGTTTTTTAACACGATTATATTATGGTATAACTGTAACCCTCAAATGTGACTAATTTAATATCTAACATATAACAACACTTATAATAATTGTTATAAAATGTTAATATTAAAAGAATTAATATTAACATTTAAATAATAATTAATATTAAAATTAATATTAATTGTATTAATCATTTAATTTATATTCGATTTATTCTTAAAGTTATAAAATAAAAAAAGTTATAAAGTTGAAGTGATCAAAAGTGACTCCGCAATAGCAGGAGTCACAATGAGACACATTCGCCTTGTATTCCAATTAAAACGAAAGATTCAGCGAAAATAAAACAAACCTGGTTAACCTTCGTCGAGAGCAGCTGGTCAAATCGTAGTGCTAAATGAAAGAGAGCACAGCCAATTCCCTTCGAAGGAAATTCTCTTGGAAGAATTCGCATGAGGTGGACGAAGATGCGACATAATGGAATTCAAAGCTACATAGCGGGATGACGCATAAATCTAACACTTATAACGCAAGGCTGTCTGGTTCTGACAACAATGTTCCTCGCTCCTTCTCGACCTCTTTACTGGACCGTGATTTTAGCATTGAAATTTTTCACACGCAATAATCAATTTTTAGAAGAAGTGGTACTAATCGTGGTTGTAAAATGCGAAATAAATGGGATTTTGACTTTGGGAATAAACATGAGTCGAGTATTATGCCGAATTCCTTCGCGAAGCGAATGACCGAGAACGATTCTGCGAGCCCGGATTAAATCAGTTATTTACAATTAATTCTTTCCCAATGTTATTCTCCACCTTCTTCCGTTAGATTTACAGCACCGTACCAATTTATTTTTTTCTCACACGTCCTAAGTTATGTTTATAACTGTAGATTGCCGTTATCAAATTTATATATCGGACCTACTGACAATTTTCTTTACTGATTTAATCTCGATTTATAAACATAGGGTCCCCAGATGAACGGGAGACAAGAAAAGATAAGTCAATAATCCGCATAATTATGAGCGATTATAAGGTATCGATGTTTGAATTCTCTTCATATCGTATTCTCTTCATATATTGGATCGGTCGCACGATTCGAAAGTTGCAGTCATAAATTATGAGTTTACAAGTGCAATTCTCTTTATCAGTTAATAAATTCGTGACATAAAAACGTTTATAAAATCCTTGTTTTCTTGAAACTAATATACATTCTATTAACTCTTGATACAAGAAACGGAAACACATAACATCTATCGATACAACTCGCGAATGTGCATTAAATATCGTGAAGAGGCAATTTCTTGATGACAATGACCAGTAAAAAATTATTAACGACCAATGAACGTAACAGTATTTCGATGTGTAGAGGAGAAGTTGGTATTATGGCCAGTGTATATATTGCCAGTATATACTCTCTTAATATCTCCGCTATTATATAAATTAAATTAAATTAATTACAGAGAATCCTAATGATTACTTACGGAATTATTTGTTTAATAGCTCGCCGTTACAACATGACGCTAATACATAATACTAATACCCAATAGTCAGCACTTATTAAAATGCATTTTTACTTTCAAGTATTTCGAAACGTTTCTAAGATACATTTTAGCATTATTTATATATATATATTAATTACACCTACTTCCTCATTTTTCTTAAATTTGAACGTATTATCATACGAATATATGCATTTTTTAGTGTATTTGCTATTTAACATTTGTTATTTAACATTTTATTTGATTGTATATTTTGAGTTAAGCAAATTTAAACAATAGCATGGCTTTTTGCTAATGTGATCTATGGATATTAATTACAAACCTCTTTTTTGAGATTTTCATATCAAAATAATTATTTAATAACCGATTGATAAATACTCTACTGTTAATCTACAGTATTACGTGTACTATTTTTAGTCCTGAAATTTTTTAGTACTGAATAATTTGTATGCAGAAGTTATGTGAATGTATATACTTTGCATACATTTTAAAATGTTTCACTCTTTTTAAATTTTATAACTAAATACTAAACAAAAGTAATTTCTAAACAAAAGTAATATTTTAAAGCTATTTTTATGGAAGGCCACATTATCACATATTTTTTTCTTCAAGTTATTAACAATGTTGTTTTTAATTTCACATTTTAATTAATAGTTTAATAATAGTATCCTAAGTAATAAATACTTTGAGTCCAGAATCGATTCAATGACATTTTAACAAATGTAATTGTCAAGTTTTAAACTTAAATATTACTTATTAACAAAGTTATTGTGTAAAATGTAACTGGGGTGCCATATAATAACATCTTCTCTAATGATTAAATCGTGTTATCATTTGCATTTTCAATAAAAAAAAGAAAAAAGAATTATCGATCACACTCAAGGATTGACGATCTATCCAACTGCGAAATCGTTAAATTAAAATCGGGTTCGCCGGGTTGCACCGGTTTGAGAATACGGCGACATAGTAAAATAAGAGAGAGAAAGGAAAAAAAGAGATTGACGCACCTCCTGTTTCGACGTCAAGTCAAGGTCGCGAGAATGCCACAAATTCATCTAAAGACTAGAAATTACGGGAGCAATCAAGTTTAAAGACGAGATTCGAGTATCGCGAACTACTTCGATCAACATGCAAATATATATATATATGCGGGAGAATCAATACAGTTATTGATAATATTGTCCAATATTATTTTTCAATATGAGTAAAGAATAATTATTTTCGATATATTTTTATCTGTTGAATACGAATCCGTTATCCAAGTTTGACTATCGTATAGTAAATTGTTTTTAAATTTTATTAATGTTAAGCAAAAGTACCAACTTTTAGCTTTAAAGTGCATTTTCTTCTTAAGTATGATTTTTCGTTTCCAAGAAATAATGATTTGAAAATAGTTCTGTTCTCATATACTTAATATGTGGGAAAAGCATTTTATTCTATTTTAATTTTGCGTTATGTGGAAAGTATTTTTATTTTGATATAGTATAATCGGATCATATACAAAATAAAAAGCAATATAAAATTGACAAAATACATTATATACATCAAAGAGCTTATAATTTTAGCTTATAATTTATTTTAACTTATTAAAGATTATAATCTTCTTATCTTTTCATATTTTGTTAATTTTATATTGCCTTTTATACTACGTCAGCACAAAAACACTTACTTTTCATATAATGTAGAATTAAAATAAAATAAAACGTTTTTTCACGTATTAAGTAATCATCCTATGATATAAGAAAAGAGCTATTTTTAAATTTTCTTCAACTCTTTTCTTGAAAACGTACATATCGAAATGAAACAAAATGTATTTTAAAGCCAAAAATTTATACTTTTGCGTGACATAAAATAAAATTTTGAAAAAATTATTAACAGTGTTAACGTCATGAAAACCCTCGAAATCATCGTTTTCGCCTTTTTGATATCATTTTTTTCAAAAATTATGACGTGAGCCAAATTTGATCAACAGATTCACTTTAGCAAGCAAAAATAAATCGAAAATGAAATTCATGCACGTATTGCAAAAAAAAAGTCAAATTTTTTCAGGCAATGTAATCGCTTATAAAAATAAAACCACCCCTTATGTGATCGATCTTTGAAATAATCGACATTGATGCCATAATTAAATGAATTTTTGGATCACAAAATGCGGGACTCATCCCCGCCGGTTTCGTCCAACTAACAAATTGAACGAAATGACGACACGTAGAATATATCGGTACCGCAAAGTCATACTCACTCGAGTGCACGTGCTCGGCCTGATCGGATTGTTAAGCAGGTAAGAATCGACTCTCGGAAAGGGTTGCTGGTTGTCACCTGGGAAGACAGTTCCGCACGATCGGACGGACCTACTCGAGTGCGTTCACGCGAGTGACAATGTGCGTGCGTCGTGCACGACCCGGAGCTGCCCAAAAACACGACCACCTCCAACCGTAGGCACAGAACTTTGAGGCGTGGTTTCCAGGTAAGTCGGATGGGCCTCAGCTGTATAGTGGGGATGATCAGAGGCTGGAAGCTGGAAAATCCTCGATCGCGGTCCATTTGGCATTTCGCTCGAAATTGTATCGTCGACCATCGTTCGCATGCTCGCACGTTTCAACACATGGTTCGTATTCGAATCATGAGAAAAATACGGTATCCTTATTCTGTCAAATAAGATCCAGTGACTGACAGATCGGTTTACTTTCGTCTGAAACCTGTCGATTTCTTTATATTCTGTCTCGAGACAAGAGCGATCGTAACTGGTTATTTGCCTTCCGCCTTTGACAATGGGGTCAAGCGCAGCATAAACACTTTCAACTATGTATACTGAAGGCACGTGCCTGCAGATACATCTATATACATACATCTATATACGTGTACATATTAGATCGTTCGGAAAGTTCGTTTCAATTTCACGAGCCCTCAGAATTCACTACGATCAATTCTTCGCCGATAAGAAACATTCATTTTGGAGCAAGGGCAACGTGCAGCTATCCGAGAGATGGGCCAAGGTCATTGAATATATTTGTAACCTAAACTTTTCCTTATTCCCTTCTGTCATTCCTGAATTCCCTCATTACAAAGGATTCTCTCTTTATTTAATCGTTATTATTCTTTTATCTTGTCATTAGTTCAAAATAGAACGTTACTCTGGAAGATAGAAGTTCTTTTCGTAACACTGCATTGTTTGTTAAAAATTAATTTAACATCGAGATTAAGAATAATTTGCAACTTTAATTATCATATCGTTGGAACTCGATCAGAATATTTACCATTATATCAATTTACTTTTATTACATAATATTAATATATAATTTACTTTCATCACAGTTTTTTAAGATCACAGATCAAGAGTAACTCGATATTTATCATTATATCAATTTACTTTTATGACGTAATATTAATACATAATTTACAATATTTTTATCACAATTTTTCAACAGTTTTTCACAAATATAATTTTATCAAATATTTATACATACGACGGATACATTG